AAATTGAGAATAATAGGGTATATAGAGAAGAAATATTTCCATAGACAATATATATACTGTCACTTAAACTAATGCACTATCGACTCTTGAATATAAGTATCTACCCATTCTCATAATTAATACCTTCCCGGCCTCAAAATGTTTTATACTTTATGAAAAACGAAGTACGATTTCATGTTTTTGTTTATTTTATTTAAAAATTGGTATACAAATTAAAAATAAAATTTACATATTTAAAAAGTACGTCAAAAGTTTTACAAAACAAGAGATGACAAGAATATTTTAATTAGAAAACTAGTAAATCAAAACACACAAACAAATAAACGTTTATGTGATTTTTCTTTTCTTTTTTTTGAAACATATGTGATTTTTTTAATAGTGAAGAACATAACTACTTTTGGAATTTTAAAAAGGATGAAGTATATAATGATAATTGGTAAGATGTCCAAATAAACAATTTTATAATGGCGTGAAACTCGTGTGATATTTGCATAATTGCATGTGGTATATACAACGTAAGTGCTACTAGAGGCAAAAACTTTTCTTTTCTCTTAAAAACTACTTTTACCTCTTACTTTTTCATACATTTTTTACTAATAATCTACTCATCACATCTTACTTTTATACATCACATCGAGGGTATTTTTGGAAAGTCAACACCAAAATATCCCTCTCTTAATTTTCCAAAAAGTCAATAAGGAAAGTTTATTTAGGATGGAGGGAGTAACTTTGAATCACTCATGGGCACGAATCATCAATTTTATCAGCGCATCATCGTAGCTGTACGAGTCATTTTAAAGTGAAAATAAGTTAAATAACCCAGATCAAAAGTTCCTCCCTAATCGGTGTAACAAAGAACTATCTACAAACTCATTCAATAAAGAGTATTGTATGTCAGGGTACGGTCAGAAGCATGAAATGCCAATTTTTTTCAAAATTTAGAAAGGAGTTAGGTGCGTGACTAGGGACGTTTCGGGGACGGGAAGCGGCGCACCTATTTGAAGAATCCGTGTATCATAGTCTGTAACTCTTCAAGGGAAGAATATGAAGTGTAAAATCTTAATTTTACACCTAAATGTAATGGTGTAGATCAAATTTGAAAATGATAACAGTAAAGGCTGCCGCTAGAGAGTCTTTTCAAAATGCTAACACTAACATTTAATTTTATTGACTAATATTGAGTGAATTGGTTTGAAACTAATCAAATTAACTCTCAAATCAATAAAATTTATTGTAATGAGATGAAATTAGGATAAAATCTAATTATTCCATACAATTCATCATATATATATTCCTTTCGTCCCAAAAAGAATATCACACTTCACTATTTAAAAATTACGGAAATTTTATTTGTTTGTGCGTTATCATTTATATGTATAACTTATCTTTAATTTCTACATATAATAAATTTAAGGCATAAAAATTTGTACTTTTTTTCAAGAAGATAATCCATTTTATGAGGGAATGAGCAAGTAATGTAACTAGTTCAAATGGTAAAATAAAAGTAAAAATTTAAAAATATAATATGCTTATTGAAAGGTAACATAGTTCTGAATTTATCAATTTTAGTTCTAATCGAGTTAGGATATTATCGGTTTCAGATCTAATCGGTTTCGGATTTTATCGGTTTCGGGTATTATCGGGTCCGGATCTAATCGGTTTCGGGTTTAATCGGTTCGAATACTATCGGTTTCGGATCTAATCGGTTTCGAATTTAAATCGGATATGAATTATTTAATTCGGTTTTGGTTCGGTTCGGATCATTTCGGGTTTTCGGTTATAGATCGGATCTTCATTTTCGGATCATTTCGGTTTCGGTTTCGGATATTTCGGTTCGGGCAATCGGTTCCGGTTCTGTTTTGCCAGGTCTACTCAAAGTGTACCGTATTTTTACACTACTAGCTAGACCTGGCAATCGGGTCAATCGATTCGGTTCTGGTTCGGGTCTTTTTGGTTCGGTCTCTTTCGGATATATGTTATAATCGGTTCAGGTCATTTCGGTTTGGGTCAATTCGGTTTCGGGTTTATTTCGGTTTGATTGATTTTCGGTTTCGGTTCAGTTTCGGTTCGGGTTTGTATCGGTTCGAGTTTATATCGATTCGGATTTATATCGGTTCGGGTTTATATCAGTTCGGGTTTGTATCGGTTCGGGTTATATCGGTTCAGGTTTGTATCAATTTGGGTTGTATTGATTTGGGTTTATATAGATTTGAGTTTATATCGTTTTAAATTTATATCAGTTCAAGTATAATGTAAACACATACATACTAATAAATGAATAAATCACATAATAAATTTAGTTAATTTAGTTAACTATAATTTTTATATACTTTCTATAAAAATACAAAAGTATTTTAACTTAAGTTATAAAATGCAAGATAAAAGATTTGTACATGAAAGTAGTTACATGGTTTGCACCCATAATTTAAATATGTTTTCTTAGAAACACATCAACATATGTAAAAATATATAGGTAATTCATTTTCTCCAAATTCATTTGATAAATGAAATATTAATGAATTTGATCAATTTCGGGTCTAATCGGTTTTGGGTCTAATCGGTTCCGGGTTTAACCGGGTTCGGGTTTAACCGGGTTCGGGTTTAATCGGTTCGGATTTAATCGGTTTGGGTTTAATCGGATTCGGGTCTGAATCGGGTCTGAATACATTCGGTTCGGGTTTGGTTCGGTTCGGATCATTTCGGGTGTTCGTTTCTATTTCGGTTCTTTAGTTTTTGAGTCAAATCGGGTTCGGTTCCGGGTTATTTGGTTCGGGTTATTGGGTCCGGGTCAATTTTGCAAGGTCTAGTACTAGCTTGTCTTTTTACTGCACTATTCTTATTGTACGTCTTCTACAAATGATGAGGTACACTTTTGCACTCCATTTGGATGGTAAGAAAATGGAGGGAAAGAAAAGATTAGATGAGAAAACATATTTTTCTACAAGTTTTCTCTTGTTTGGTTTGCAAAGAAAATAGTAGGGATTTTTTTTACCATGGACCGCACATAAAAACTTTTCTCACGTTTTTTTTGGTGAGAAAACTTTTCTTTCTATTTTCACACCAATTTCTTATGATTTTCTGTCAATTCAAACACTAAGGCTCCGTTTGGTACTCAAAATTCAAACTATAGAAATGAAATTGGTGAACATCATTTCAATTTTGCTATTTGGTATCACAACACTTTATAGATTTTGGAATTGTTAGTGCAAAAAATTAATTAAAATTGGAAAATTTAATTACATCCAATCTATGTCCTTCTCGGACGAACTTCTTTACTTTTGAGCGTTTAGGGGAAGCTGGCTATTCCGGTAAGCGAGTAGTCAAATTTGATTAGGAAAGCGGCACATAGTTTATATTGATTGGATTGGAGGGACTTTCAGTTCTGGAAGACTATACGCTCGTTTGATCTTGATCTTGATAAGAGTAACGGAGAGGGACTTCGTTCCTCGAAGAGGTACGAAGTTGGTCGAATGAGTTGAACTATGTTCAACGAAATGAGTTGAACGAACAACAGATTCATTTCAAACGTTTCACTATGTGAAACTCATTCCGGATACTACTTCGGATACTAGAGATTCGTTTCAAACGTTGAACGAACAACGAATAGTGAAACTAAGGTACGAAGTGACTCGAAAGAGGTACAGAGAACAGAGAACAGAGATTCGTTTCAAATGAGTTGACAAAGATTCGTTGAACATAGTTCAACTCATTTCGTTGAACATAGTTCAACACTATGTGAAACTCATTTAGTTCAACGAACAACGAATTTCGTTTCACTATGTGAAACTCATTTCGTTGAACATAGTTCAACACTATGTTCAACTCATTTAGTTTCAAACGTTGAACTATGTGAAACAACGAACAACGAATTTCGTTTCACTATGTGAAACTCATTCGACCAAAGGGAGAGGTACGAAGTCCCTCGACCAACGGGAGGGGCATAGGCATCGCCTCTCAATCCAATCCGTCTTCCCTGTCCCCAAATATTGAATCCGTCGGGACTGCCGGGGCTCGAACCCGCAGCTTCCGCCTTGATAGGGCGGTGCTCTAACCGATTGAACTACAATCCCAGGAAAATAAGGTGTACAGAATTCTCATTTGATTCGAACCAACGAATGAGTCGAACATATACTAATTATATAATTATATAATAGATATATATCCAACTAACTGACTGGAAGAGATGGATTGGGCTCACCCTAATAGAAACAAAAACTGCTGAATACGGTGGATACACTGGTCAACAAGAAGCGGGGAGCCCTGAAAACGATATCAATTTTGTATTACAAATAGACCATAACTTTTTTTTTCTACATTTTTTCTTGATTTTTTTCTCTATCATTTTCTCTCATCCTATTTCCTTTATGGTATGTTTGGAAACATGGATTTGGATTTCAAATCTGAATTTGGCTCAAATTCCATGTTTGAGAAATTTAAATATTTTAAATTTGGATTAAAGTCAAATTTTTCTCATTCATAACAAAATTTAATTTGAAATCCATGCACCACTTCTAGTCATTTGAAATTTTAGATTTCAAATTTTGGAATTAAAATACATAATTTGAAATGAAATGCTAGTTGCCAAAGAGTACCTTATCTCATTCTATCTTACCATACAAAGAAAGAGCTAGTGCACCTCTGCATTACTTTTTTATACTCCCTCCGTCCCAGAAAAAATGCCACGGTTACTATTTTGGGCTCTCGATAATTTTGTTTGTTTACTCGTTTTGGTTGACCATTTGATAACATAAAATATTCTTGTAACATTTTGTTTTGTAGAACTTTTCATATACTCCACTTTTGAATGATGTAGTTTTTACTTTTTATTACTCTACCAATTTAAAATTAAAGTAATTTTAAAAGAGATGATATTTTACACATCGTTCGAAGTGTTGCAAATAAATTGGAACGGAGGGAGTATTTTTCTTTCCCAATTTCTCCTTGGAACTCAGCCATCGCCTTTCAGTTCTCGATTCTCGAACGTTGACCATTCTTGGTCAACCCACCCCAGCAAAGAGAGAAAAAAGCAGACTCTGTTTCTTTTCTTGAATTGCCATTCCCCTTACCTTTCTTCTCCCAATTTCTTCTGCTCTCTTTCTTTCTCTCTTATTCACATTCAAAGACCTAATTTTCAGTTGCTTATGTTGACCAAAAACACCCTCACATTTCACCTTTTCTCCCCTACAAATACCCAAATCCACCCACCATTAACAGCACTGAAGAAGAAATTTGGGAGTTTGGGAGGGAGATAAATTCATTCATTCATTCATTTTATTTATTTATTCAACTTTTTTTTTGAAAAAAACTATCAATGGGAAACTCAATATGGGCTTTGTTATCACCATACACACCATATCTGATCTCCATTGTAGCAATTCTTCTTGTTCTTGAGCAGTTATCTTACCTGAAGAAGAAGAAGTTTCTTCCCGGTCCGGCGCTGGTTTTTCCGTTCATCGGTACTGCCATGACTCTGGTCACCAATCCGACCAAGTACTGGGAAGTCCAATCATCTCTAGCCAAGTCCAATGGCCATGGCGTTTCTGCAAATTACATCTTCGGCCGCTTCATTCTCTACATTCATTCAACCGACCTCTCCCACAAGGTGTTCGCCAATGTCCGGCCGGACGCCTTCCATCTAATCGGACATCCGTTCGGCAAGAAGCTCTTCGGCGAGCATAACTTGATATACATGTTTGGGGAGAAGCACAAGGAGCTCCGCCGCAGAATCGCTCCCAATTTCACCCCCAAGGCGCTGGCCACGTACACCGGGATTCAACAGAGGATTATTATCAAACACCTGGCGTCCTGGTTGGAGAAGTGCTCCGCCGCGCCGTCGCAGCCGGTTCCGCTCCGCGTTCTCTGCCGGGATATGAACTTGGAGACCTCGCAGACCGTGTTCGCCGGGAAGTATTTGAGCGGGGAGGCGAGGCGGCGGTTTAATTTGGACTACAACTACTTCAATGTCGGGCTGATGACGCTTCCGGTGGATCTGCCGGGCTTCGCCTTCAGAAAAGCGAGGCTTGCGGTGGATCGGCTGGTGGAGACGCTCGCGGTCTGCGCCGAGCAGAGCCAGAGGAAGATGGAGACCGGAGAAGAAGAGCCGAGTTGCCTGATTGATTTCTGGATGCAAGACGCGATTAGGGAAATCAGCCAAGCGAAGGAGAACGGCGGCGATTTAGGGTCCGTCTACAGCCACCGCGAAATCGGCGGCCATCTGTTCGATTTCCTATTCGCCGCGCAGGACGCTTCCACCTCCTCTCTCCTGTGGGCGGTGGCGCTCCTGGAGTCTCATCCGGAGGTTCTCGAGAAAGTGAGGTCGGAGGTGAAGAGGTACTGGTCGCCGGAATCGGGCGAGGACATCGCCGCCGAGCAACTCAGGGAGATGAAGTACGTGGAGGCGGTTGCGCGCGAGGTCATCCGGTTCAGAGCTCCGGCGACGATGGTGCCGCACATCGCCGGGGTCGATTTCCAGTTGACGGAGAATTACGTCATTCCCAAGGGCACCACCGTGTTCCCGTCGCTATTAGACTCGTCGTTCCAGGGGTTCCCCGAACCGGAAAAGTTCGACCCGGAGCGGTTCATGGGAGAACGGCAAGAGGACCGGGTTTACAGGAAGAACTTTCTAGCGTTCGGGGCTGGGCCCCACCAGTGCGTGGGCCAGAGGTACGCGTTCAATCACCTCACGCTCTTCATCGCCATATTTACGGCTGTGATTGATTTCAGGCGTCACCGAACGGACGGCTGCGATGAGTTTGTGTATATCCCGACCATTGCCCCCAAGGATGAATGCAGAGTTTACATTTCCCAGAGGTGCAACAAATTCCCCGACCGGTGTTGACGATTTTGCCCCTCTGAGATCGGATTCTTCCATGCAGCTTTTGACTTTTCCAGGGATTCCAATTGTGTTGTTCATTACCTAAATTATTGATCTCTGACTTTCTGTTCTTGTTTTCACACTCGGTACGGTATTTCTCAATTTTTTTACTGTGGGTGTTTTCTCCAGTCCTAAAATAGTTACATTCTTCAATCGACGTGTAAAATTTGTAATTTTTAAAATTAATTGACAAAATTTTAAATTCACAAGATAAGAAATGGTAAAAATATTTTATTTTATTTTATTAAATGATCAATAAAAATATGCAACAAGCAAATGTTGTCGGGATGTTGCAATACTTCCTCCGTCCTAAATTATAATGCTTGTTCACTATTCACAGAGTCAAACTTCATTCATTTTCTTTTTTTATTTTCGTTAGTAATTTGATAAAATAAAATATTGTTGTCACCACCTAGTTGTGTAGATCTTTTGATGTAGTATTTTGATATGTAATTTTTATTTTTTAACTCTATACCATTTGTCATATAAAATGATTTGAAAATAACTTCAATCAAACATCGTAAACCGAAACAGACGTTATAAAATGGGACGGAGGGAGTAGTAAATAGGTAAATCATTTTTGGAACGTGGGAGTATTTTAGAGTTTATGATATTTTGACACTGACGTGAACCAACTCAATTAAAAAATTAAATTGATGTTCATAGATCAATAGAAGATTCTTAACTTCCAATTTATACTTGTAGGCCTAGGAAAGATTGTACGAAGTGTTGTTTATCCTAAGATATCTTTTATGTGCATCTCAGACTTATTTTTGTTTGGGTGTTGCATGTGAACATTACTTCTTCTTCTTTCTTTTTTTTTTGTTGAATATAATGGCTTTGAGGTTTAAAAGCTTAGCTTTTGGATCACTAAGACTCTAATACTATCTAAAAAATGCACAAACTATTTTGATTTCATTAATGATAAACTTTGTATTCAATCTGGATTCTGTAATGTTTTTCTTTATTTTAAAAATCTAAGATTATTTAATTCAGATTTATAAATATCTTTCTAAATCTAATGGTATTCAAAATTTGGAAGATTATCAAAAGTTTGTACAAGATATGGATTTTGATGGATTTTTGAGCTTGAGTATAAACACAAATCCAAATTACAAATTGTTGGAAAAATAAAAAATAATTTTATTATTATGATTGCACTTAGAAAAATAAAATATTCTAAGTTGCCTACGTACCCTAATTGATGGGTGTATTTCACCCGGAACCCGGTCCGTATCCGGGTCCACATCAGTTGACCGGTTAGATTCAAATACATCAAAATGCAAAGCTTTAACAAAAATATAGACGACTGGTTGGTTTCGAAAAGTTGACCGGTATAAAATGTAAACCTACCGGTCAGAGTACGTGACTTCATGCTGGTGGTCTTCTGCCTCTTCAACGTATTAGGTTGATACTATGGTGTGAAAGTGTCGACACAAATAGCTCCAAAGTCAGTTGGACGGTAGTATCTGATTTAAACAAAAGATTACAGGTGATGGTGTAAATTAACCACCGGGTAAAACAGTTCTAGACCGAGTTTAGGATTGTTTACTAGATTCGAGAGTGTAAAATGAAATAAACACGAAGTTAATTGGGAGGACTGTAGGTAGAAATACATGTAGCCCAATTGTTATTAGAATATGTTAAATGCACGAGAGCTTTTACACAAGGGTTTAGTGAAAAGAATTTGGATCCCTTCATTTGAGGGTTACACAAGTATTTAGACAAAGCTAGAGGGGACAAGGCACCGCACACCCACGCCAGGCCACGTTCCTGGGTAGCGCGAAGTGATTGCCTCTGTCTTTTAGTGTCATGTTTCATCCCTTTATTTCCTTGTCATCTAGTAAGGAGGAAGGTTTTTTGCTATATGTGTTGATTCTTTTTGTATGCCTTATTTTTTAAGGGGAAGATAACTAAATTGAGGGGGAAGTATTTTTATATCCTAGAAATGTCTTAGGGGGATGTGATTTTTCTTAATTGTTTAGAATTTTTTTTCCTCCGCGAATGCATGAGTTCTTTTGTTGCATTATTTTTTATAATGTCAAAAGGGGGAAGAGTGTAAGAGTATATGCTCGAAATTGTTAATTTTTGATTGCATATCCTCCATATGTTTGTCATTATCAAAAAGGGGAAAGTTGTTGGAATGCATGAGTTCAACTCTTTTGGTACTGTTAAGTGTTGACTCCCAGGTTAAGATAATTGACAAATATAATTTATTCAAGTCAAAAATAATGTGCCACATTGACAAACACAAAGACTTGAATTGCCAAATTCCTTGAAGTATTCAAGCAGGAGTATAGGATTTAATGAAGATCAAGATGCCTAACGGAGCGCTTTACGGAAGTGAAGAAGAAGATTTCCGAATACTTTTAATTTGTTTGAGTCTTAGAAAATATTGCAAGGATGACACAAATATTCATCACTCCAAAATTATTTTTAAGAGAGTTATATAAAAATTATAGTTATTTTAAAGTCAGTTGAAAAATCCTTTTTTAACTATTCAAAGACTTAAAATTTTGGTATATTCATTCTTATTCATTCTTATATGAGGAGTTCTTCCTTAAGACTTCCTCTTTAGTATTTATGCTACTTTGAAAGTGGACAAATATTAAAAGACGGATAGATGCTAAGGGGGGTGTATTCAATTGAAATTGTATTGAATTTTTTTGAACTCTAAAAAGTTAGTGAATTTGGAAAATCAATAGATTCCTTGTAGAGTTTGTCCAACTTTTCTATTGATTTAAGATGGATTTCATAGACTCCATGGATTTCTATTAGAAATTTTGATAAATATTCTCTCTCGGTTCTCCCTCTTTTGTTGGCCATTTAGTTAACCTACAATTGGAACATATCATCATCAACCTCTACGCCTTCTTCCCCCTTGCTCCCATCGTTCCCTCTGCGGCTGTGCTCGTAGACCTCCAATTGCAGGCTGTACGGGAAAATAAAATTGCATGCTGTGCTCGTAGACCTCCAATTGCTCCCATCGTTCCAATTGCCGCTGTGCTCGTAGACCTCTGCACCAACTGCGCCGCTGCCTTCTCTACCGGCGAAAGCTTCTCCACCGAGTTCTTCTCCGCCACCGCCTTTAACTCCCGCTCCTTCAACTTCTCCTCCTGCGCTATTGACGCCTTCCGCCCCTGCTCCTTCTGGTTCTTCTCCCCCGTTGATTCCCTCTGCACCTCCCAACAGAACCCCATCTCCTCCATCGCGCACGCCTCCTTCTCCACCTCGTCCTCCGCCCCGCTCCACTCCCTCTCCACCTCCTCCTCAGCAGGAGGTAGTCTGGCGCCCCCATCGCCGCCTCTTGATGGCGGATCGTCGGGGGTATCAACAGGTTTGGTGGCCGAATCTACATTATTGCTTTGTTCAAAAGTTCGTGGAAATCTGATGTCCTTAGAAGGGATTTGAGATAAGCAGTATTTTAAGAGACAATCCAACAAAATTTATGGAGTATTAAAATTCATTGACTATTGAATACCTAAAATTTTTTTAAGACACTTTAAAATCTTTATTGAATACCTCAAAACTTTTAAAGATTTTTGAAAATCTAGATTGAATACCCTCAGATTTTAAAAATCCAAAAATATATTACAGACTTCCAATTGAATATACCACTAAATTTAAAACACTACCAATTACATTACATAAGTTTTTTTTTTTTTTTTTGAAACAGATTACATTACACAAGTTAAAATGGAAGAGTATGCATAAAAGGGATTTGATAATAGAACAATCCCCGATTAGAGAATTTCTCCAACTCTAAAGTGAGAGAGATGGCGGCGGCAGCTAATGGCAGGGAAAGTGGTGGTGGAGCGGCGGGAGCACCGAAGATCGTATGGAACGAGGGAACGCGGAGGTTCGAGACGGAGGACAAGGAAGCTTATCTGGAGTACGAGCTGAAGCACGGCGGCAGAACCATGGACGTTCTCCACACCTACGTTCCGCCCAGCAAGCGCGGCCTCGGCATCGCCGCTCTTCTCTCTGAATCCGCCTTTTCTCACGCCAAGGCTCATTCGCTCGCCGTAATCCCGTCGTGCTCCTATATCTCCGATACCTTTCTTCCTCGGAACCCTTCCTGGAATTCCGTCCTGTACAGACCAGATATCAGATCGCAGATCTGAGGCGCAAATCTGTCAAGGTTTTTCTCTTCTCTCTCTTTCTCTCTATTTTTATTTTTTGTGAATATATTTTAATCTTTCATCATGTAAAGTAGGAAAAAATTGATGAGATATCTCAAAATAATCCCAATTGGAGTATTAGGTATTGCTTTCTTATTGACAATAGCCCCTATTAGGATAGAAATTGGGGAAATTGATGCTGTTTTGTGTTGGTAAATTTGCTTTTTGAGTTACCAAACATTTCAGGTGTCATGGTCAATACTGCATTCCCAGCACACATGTCTCATGTCTCCTTTTTGGGAGAGCATGGTCTTATATTGCATCCTAGCAGACATGGCTGCAAAAGCCACTCCAACAAAAGCAACTACAACAAAAAAATTAAAATCCATTAAAAAAAGACTAGACGAACTTAACAAAGATAAGATACAATTAACTTATCAAATACACTTGTTAATATGATTGTGGCATCCCTTTTGGCAGTCTCAATGGCAATTTGAAGCAATTTTCTACTCCCTTCGACCCTAAAAGATTGCCATGGCACCCTTTGACCGTGAATTATGAAAAACATATATTTAGTTATAATGTAAATTTAGTAAAATTGGGTTTATTTTAAAATATAGTTTTGAAATATTTAATTTTTATGGTAGGCGGGGTAGCCTGTCGAAGAAAATGTCACAAGGGCGTGGCGAAGGAAGCGGTGGAAAGGTGGATAGGAGTAATGACATTTTAGGAAAGTCAACACACATTACATTAAAACACGTGCCGAGTCAAAATGAGAAGAAACTTATGGGACCGAGGGAGTAACATATTTTACCTGTTTCATAAGCTCACACTTTTACCAAATTTTCACACTTATTTTAGTCCAAACAACTACTCCCCTTGTCCCGGTCTTTTTGTCCACTTTCTCTTAGGAACAAATACCAAAGTGAGGAAATAAAAAAAGTAAAATGTCACCTTTACCCCTCCTGATATTTCCTTGACTAGCTAGCTCCTCCTTATATCTCTGCCGCACCAATCCATCACCACACTCCCGCCTCCGATCCATAACAATGTCCCAAAATCTTTCCCTTGTCTAGCTAGTCCCATAATTATTGAAGCATTAATTTGCACACAAAATAGGCTTAGAAGTACTCATGTTGCATTACATCATAAGCCAACAATTGAAGAGATAGAACTTAATGAAGAACTTGAGAAAGTTGAAAAATATTTATTTTTTTTACATTTGTTTCCCTATTTTATTCTTATATTATTTTATTCTATAATTTTATTCTTATATTATTTTATTCTTTAATTTGGTCACATATATTTTCCGTCTGAAATTGCAAATGTAGGGAGGGCTGAAGGAACCAGATTGCCTCAACAAATTCGAGGACAATGATGACACTCAACACAAAATGTTTGAGACAAATTTTAATTATTTTCAATGTTTGAGACAAATGTTAATTATTTGCAATGTTTGAGACTTGTTGAGGATGTTTACCACCTGGCTCAATGTTAGTAAATATGCGTATTATACTAACGTATGTATAATATGTGTTTTATACTCACGTTTAGGATTCATGTTATACTATACGCTAAAATACACTTATTTTTAAAAGGGCCATATAATACTCGTTTTTTTAACTTTTCTCAATTTCACATCATCCCCTCCTTCGTTTTGTATTCAATTATTTTCCACCTATTATACATGCTCACTGGCCGGCTAAACTTTTGTACTGTATGCCAGTAATATTTATATTTACACAAAGATAAATATGGAGTAGTACTCTTTTCGTCATGTAAAAAATTTCATTCGGAAAAAGACCAAAATAGGACTAAATAACATAGCAAGGATAATGAAATAAGTCCTTCATATTTTTATTTCAAAATAGGACTTATAATGCCAATAATACCAACATATAATACCAAAACACTTTGAATGCCAATATATAATGCCATATTGTCATATTCAATCTGTCTTTTTTTGGGATATAAACATATAAGTCTTATTTTGGGATAAAGCCTATGTTTTGGCCCCAGGTAGATTTCTTAATTTCATTGTCTAACTTCTTGGAGTTTAAGACAATTATTAAGAAGTAAAAAAGATGTGGTTGTAAATAGTTTTGAAGAGAGAATATTGAAACCACATGCTCCCTCCGTCCTATGTTTAACCATTTTTACATTTTTTGCTTGTCCACTAATTTTGTCTCATACCATATTTATCATATATGTGTGCTTTGCATTCATTCAACCATATAATATTCCTTTTCTTAATTCTCGTGTCACTTTCTCATGTCCCAAAATAGTGAGACGGAGGGAGTATTATTATTTTTCCTTTAAAAGGAAAATATGAGAAGTATGAAGTTTGTTTGAGACATCTAAATAAGAAAAGTGTGAAACTCTTTATGCAATGTGGTCGGTATAAATTACGATAATTTAGAACTACATTTCAAATTAAGTCTGATGATTTTAAGTTCATTCATAACTAAATTTATTTTTATCGCATATTAGGATCAAAATTTAAAAACTCTGAACTAAGTCAAATGAAAAAAAAATCCATTTTAGGATTACAGGGAGTATAAAGCAAAACATGCTATAAAGTTTGAAATCTTTGGAGACATAATCATTCCATGGTCTAGCTTTCAAATCTCACTCCAAAAAAAAATTAACATAATAAATCTTTGGCAGTTGGGTTCTCCAGCCAATATCCATTCCCTTCTCATACTCAAATCTGCTTAGTTATGTTGGAGAGCCAATATACATTCAATTCCCCTGAAACTCAAATAAGTGTAATTATTCTGGATTTTGAAGAATATAATGCATATTAGTGTTCTAAAAGTCTTGTTTCTTTACTCTGCTGGGATTTTCACTCTGCTTTTCCTTGAATCTTGCACTCTATGTTTTGCACGCGAAGAATTTCAAGAACGCCGCCCCTCAATCAGCTTCAAAGAACATGATAACAAGGTACTTTTGTTAAAACCCAAGCTTCCTATTTTTAAGATATATATGGAAGGTTTACATATCTCATTGATTAGTAATGTAATTGTGTGATTTTTTCTCACTGTTCTTTTCTTAAAACTATCTATGTCCTAATTTTTCATGCCTCATTTTTTTCCCGCCACTATTTATCATTAATAGGAAGCAGCATTATGCGATTGACACACCCATTTTCGATCTACAATTGTTTCATTAACCACAATTTGGTTATATTATTTTCTTTGTCATCTCTGAAATATCTTGACCACACATATAATCACTTCAATTATTTACCTGCCTGGGCACAAAAGATATTGGAAGGGAGAGAGTGGTAAAAAATACTCAGTAAAAAAATGGTTTGTGCACTTGTAAAGGTGGAAGCTGGCAGGGCAATTGACATTGCAATTCATGGGATTTTGTTATGGGCTTCAATGGGATTGTTGATGCCTGCTGGGATACTTGCAATTAGACTGTCCACATTAATGAAAGAATGTAATAATAAAAAAAAGCCTAGAGTCACACTCTTCTATGTGCATGCCATTCTTCAGGTAAGTACATTGTTTTAACTACGGAGTAATTTGCATAATTTTTATTCTACATTGGTTAAAACCATGCAATTATAACTTCTCCTTTTTAAGTGGAAAATTTTGTGTGATTAATTAACATATACTTCCTCCATCCCAAAAAAGAACTTTATCCATTTAACTTTCATTAAGTATAAAAAAAGTGTTGAAATGTAAAAAGTGTACGGTTATAACTTGTTTTGATAATAGAGAAATCTTGTGAGCCACATGTTCGTTACTAAAAAATGAAATAAAGTAAATGGGAAATGTTTTTTTGGGACATCCAGCCAAAAAGGGAACATGGATGAAGTTTTTATTTTTGCACAGATGGAGTATTCATTACATTTTATTTCTATGTTTTTATTGGATTGACATTTTAATTACACTCTGACCAGTTACTTGAAAAAAGGTGGTTTCAGTGGTAGTAGCAACTGCAGGAGCAGTATTATCCATCAAAAGCTTTGAAAATAGATTCAACAACATTCATCAAAGGATAGGTTTAGCACTTCATATTGCTATTTATGTCCAATTTGGTATGGGTTTTTGTCGGCCTAAGAGGTAATTAAGGTGACTCCTTCACTCTTTTTCTTTTGCTATGGAAAATTTTTCTCTAACCCCGAATTATTTTGTACCAAATATCATAATTGTACAATTAATCTGAACATCCAAAAAGAAAGTGGACAAATTCTTTTTGTACCCAATTATTTACACACCCTTACTGTGGTTCAGAATGCATCTCTCTTCTACACAAATTCCAACCACACGTTGGTTTTACTTTTCAACATTTTTCTTACCTGAAGTCAAACCGTAAACTTTCATTTTGGAACGGATGGAGTATAATTTGTGAGAAGCCAGCAAAAATAATAAGACCAAACGAGTTTCGATAAAGAAAAAAATGTTAAAAATGTGAAGTTTATGCAGAGACCAAATGATATTTTGAAGATGGGTGATATTTGTGTAGGGGGAGAAAGTGGAGGAGTGTGTGGTACTTTTTGCATTGGCTACTTGGGACAACAATAAGTTTGGCAGGGATAATCAACACCTACACAGGGCTAAGGGCCTACCATGAGAAGACATCAAAGAGCATAAGCCTTTGGGTCATGATTTTCACAGCTCAAGTGTCATTTATGGGATTTTTCTTTCTTTTTCAAGACAAATGGGAGTACATTAAAAAGCAAGGAGATATGGTTGTCGGCAATGAACCCAAAACTACAGCTGTAGTGGCCACAACAACAACACTATGTGAAGTAGTGGTTGATGCTGCTGAGACATACAGAAGGAGCAATGCACTTGGGACTTATTTTTCAAGAAGCAAAGCACTCAAGAAACTATTTCAGCAAACATCATGGTGATGATGATAATGATGGGTTGTTTAATAAATCACTTGTTGAGTTGTGTTTTTTATTTACTTTGTCTAAATAATTGGTCCACCTTGTGATTCGATTATATTTTCTGTGTCACTAGCGACTAGCCCATCACTTGAGTCACTATGATTTACCCCTCTACTATACTGTCGGGCTAGGGTGTGGGGGGGCTAGGGTGTGGGGGGGCTAGGGTGTGGGGGTGCCAGAGGCGGGAGATTCCACCTTTTAGCACAACTGTATTTTGTGTGGCACTGAACAGTAAATGAGTGTTTGTTTTGTCCTTATTATTATATGCGGGTCATGTTATAGTCACACCACGAATGACATTAAAATTGACACCGTTATTGATTTACACACAATGATTTTTCATTAAATGACTGTTTGTCTAGTTCATGAAAGCGTGGCCCATTAGTCAATAATAAGTTAGTCAAAATTTCACCATTTTTGCCTTTGGGGTGTGATGGAATAAATCAAAATGGATCTCTAAACTATCTGCGCTTCTTTAATCAATGAAGTAGCAGTTAGTCAAACACTGCAGCTTTCGATGTTGAGCCGGGGGTCTCTTTGGAAACAGCCTCTCTACTTTCGAGTAGGGGCAAGGTCTGCGTACACACACTCTCCCCAGACCCTACTCTTGTGGGATTTAACTGGGTTGTTGTTGTTTGTTGTTTAAGTTATTTTCAATTCCGATCATAAATCATTGGTCCAATAGATCAAAGCCCACTGAAAAAGAAAAAGAGTTGCATGTGATAAATAAGCAAGTTCCAATAGGCCAAGTCAACCTTTCAAGGATTGGGCTAAGCAAATGGACTCGATCAGAAATCAGGACAATGATAGATCATTGGCTTAATGGCTTTTAATATACCTATTCCTTCAAATGAGTCCAAGAGAGATTTTACACTTTTCACCAAACGAAGCAAATTTTCAAGTTTTTTAAAATTATTTTATCTAAAGATTGGTACAGAAATTTAAAATGAAATTTACATATTTAAATACCATGTCAAAAATTTTACAAAGGATATAATAAAAATATTTTATTTTATGATATACTTAATCAATATGCACAAACAAAGGAGTAATTAGGAGTGTTGGACATGTTAGCCTACAAGTATATTCCATTCTTCCAAGTATTTTTCTTTTTCTTTAAGACTTTAATAAAGACTTTTATCCCCTCATTCTCTGCGGACACTGAAGTCTGAGTTGCTGATATTTTCCAGATTTGCAGACCAATAATCAAATTCAAATGGCTTCTCAGGATCATCACCACCATGACGATGAGCATGAACATCATCATCACCATCACCATGAAGATGAGCATGAACATCACCATACCCATGGGTTTACTCTTCTTCCCTTCAATTCAACCCACATTTTTAAAAATCTTTTTAAAACTTTATCTTGAGTTATTTTCTTCACTCCCATTAGGGATTCAGGAGCAACAAACTGGGTGGGCCCAGATGGGAGGGTCTACCATAGCCATGATGGACTTGCACCACATTCACACGAACCCATATACTCACCTGGCTTCTTCAACAGGAGAGCCCCTCCTCTGACCAACAGGAATTTCAATGAAAGAGCCTTCACTGTTGGGATTGGTGGCCCTGTTGGAACTGGGTAATTTTTTCATAATATTCCTCAATTCCATCTTTTAATGTTTATTTGTTTATGAGTTTTAGAAATGGGTCTTATTATTCACTATCTATTTCATCTTTTTGTTTTTCTTTTGTGCACATTCCAACTCTTTTTTTTTTCTCTTTCTCAGCTGCATTTTTCTTCATTGGGAGATTCTGTAAAGTTCAGTTCTTTTTGTATGGATGACACTGCAAAAGTTAAACTTCTTCTAGATCTGGTTAAAGGGTTTTTGGATTGAGTGTCTTTAGCCAAGAATTTCAACTCTATTTTAGTTGTTGGGCACGCGGAAAAAGACTCATCTTTTCTGGGGAAAAAATTGAAAATGTATAGGTTTTGTTTAGCTTTGGTTGTGTTCTTTTGTGCTTTGTTTTTTGTGTTGATCTATTAGAGTCTCAGTCTGAATTATTTATGAGAGAATGACGTGTTAAAAAGATCTTGAATTGAACTACTTAATCAAATGGATTCAACATTTTAGCTAGTTTTTTTTGAATGCTATTGACTAATTACAATGTTGTATCTGTCCATACATTTCTCAACCTAATGACCCACTAAGAGCCAACGCCTCTGCCTCTCTTGACTGTTGGGGTTCGAACCTGGGTGAACTTTCTACCACTCAAGCTAGGGGAGAAGTTCACATTTTAGCTTTTTTTTTTCACCCCAAAAGGATCCTAGCTAGTTTAAATACAGATTTGACTAGCATCAGATGTGGTTCACTTAACAAGCTAGTCTTTTTTTTTAATTAATATTGCAGAAAAACAGCATTGATGCTCGCATTGTGCAAAGCATTAAGAGACAGATACAGTCTAGCAGCAGTATGTATTCCACTTGTCATTTTAGATTCACTGCAACTCCAGAGATTGTATTTCACATATGAAAAACATTGAGTTTATATTGAGTATATATGTTCTTTTCGGCTGAAATTTAGTGGGTTTAACTAAATCTAACTGAATTGAAAGTCAGTTATACTCTTACTTGAAAAGTGGTGAACTGAACTTGACTGAAGTGAAGTTAACTAAACTGAATAACTTGAAAACATGTCGAAAAGAACAGATTCATTGGATGATTTTTTTTCTCCTTGAGACCTTTTTCATGATTCATGCATTGAATGAAGTCCAAATCAAGTACTGAACCATAACAATATAGATTAAACAAAGGCATATAAAAGGGAATTGTTTGCTTGTACGTAGGTGACAAATGATATATTCACAAAGGAAGATGGAGAGTTTTTGATAAAGCATGGAGCACTTGCGGAGGAAAGGATTCGTGCAGTTGAAACAGGAGGCTGCCCACACGCTGCTATTAGGGAAGATATAAGCATTAACCTTGGACCTCTAGAAGAGCTTTCGGGCTTGTTTAAAACTGATATCCTTCTGTGTGAATCTGGTGGAGGTAATCTTTTATTATTTCCTTTTTACCGTACAAAAATTGAATGACAAAGTGGCGATTTTTCTATGTATCTTTGGAATTTGGATGCAGACAATCTAGTCTTCCTCTCTGTTGGGATTTTACTGGGTTTGTTCTTGTTAATGTTGTTGGGTGCAGATAATCTAGCTGCCAACTTCAGCAGGGAGTTGGCTGACTACATCATCTACATAATTGATGTATCCGCGGGTGATAAAATCCCACGAAAAGGTGGTCCCGGAATCACCCAAGCTGACCTCCTTGTAAGCGGTTTCATGTAGTTTTAATTTTTTTTTTGGAAAAAATTATGCGGAGACCCTAAGAAATTTGAGATTTTACACGAATACTCCAAGACTACAAAATTATCACCAGGGCTTGTATAGTTATTAAAATATTTTTGCAACAAAGACCTTGTAATGCAAAAATGGCTTTTCCTCAATGAAATGAAAATTTGATTCATGTTAAGAGATTCTAAATGCGATTGATCGAATCTGTATATCAATACTGATTTGATCAATCCGAGCTCTCTTATTGAATTGCTCGTTCAATGAGCCTTCTAAATAGTATCCCTTGAAGGGGACTCAAACCTACAATCTTTCAGCATGATATTTTGAGTCTCGCGTGGCTTCCATTTAACCACCAAGGCATCTTGAACTCCCGTTTTTTCATGAGTATGCGCGATGAATATATAGTTTTGGAGCATTTGTGATAAAATATTTAAATTTTGGGTGATATGTAATTTTGTTGATGTTCTTGAATGAATCTCTTGATGCAGGTCATCAACAAGACTGATCTGGCACCAGCTGTTGGAGCTGATCTCTCTGTTATGGAGCGCGATGCACTTCGCATGAGGGACGGTGGCCCTTTTGTTTTTGCTCAGGTTTCCTTTGCTCCTCATTGCTTTGTTTCCGACAATTATGTATGTATGAATGCAACATAAAAATGCTAGAAACCCGCAATAGGTGACCCACGGATGACAATGACAGATGATTTATACATGTACAGATGATTATCGTCTGTGTATGTACAAATCATCCGTGGGGCACCCGTAGTGGGTTCCTTCCATGATCCAATGCAATGTCATCTTCATAGGTGATTATTAGTGATGGGCTCTTTATGGAATTTGCAAAAATCATTGAATCGCAGGTGAAACACGGCGTGGGAATCGAAGAAATCGTAACCCACATTTTGCAAGCTTGGGAAGTAGCAACAGGGAATAAGCCACACTGAATTCAGATTAATGAAGATCCCTGCATCTATGAACTCTTTTTCATTTGATGATTTCTGGTTTATCCTAATTAACAGTACTTACTTAGAGGACTCTCCTTCAATGAACCAGACTTGGTATTTTCTTAGTGTGTTTTCTCCTTCCGTTCTAGTGCATTCGTCTAGTTTATCTTTTTCAAATCAAGCTGGACGAATTTTATTCATCAATTACTCTCAATCTGTATTGCATATTACTCCATATTACAATGAAATAAAATTTTGAAAGTTTTCCATAAGATGAATATAATTGAATCATTTTTATACTAACATGCATTACACGGAGTAGTTTTTATTTAATTGGGGTCTAAAATTTGTCCAGTTTGACTCGAATAAATCAAATTGGACAAATAAATGGGGACGGAGGTAATATATTGTACTTGGTAGTAAAATTGTGACATTCCATCCCAAACCCATTTGGCAATTCGAAGAGTAACTCACAATTTTATATACTCCCTTTGTCCTGCAATAGTATTCTACATTTCTTTTTTCGTTCATCCAATACAAAAGGTTTCATTTTCTACTTTCAAAAAATTTTATGTCGCATATAATTTCATTCTCCTTTACATTATTTTCATGTAAAACATTACTGCAGGACAGAGTGGTATTGAACTTTTTAGATATCGGTATGTATTGTACAATTGTGAGATTCCATCGCAAAACTAATTGACATTTTTAGAAATAATTAAATATCAGAATTTATAAATGGGAGTATTATAAATATTTAAAATTACTAGACGTCATAAATTGGGCTTGAGAAGACGACAGATGTAACGGAATGTAGTGTTAACGATGCTTTGCCGTCTTCAAACTGTGCACGCTACATTTTTGGGAGTTGGAACACACACAATTAGATGCCGTCTTTCGACTTAAAGTGTATTTTCTCGGAATATTCATCTCTAGACTCAAAATATTTCTATGCTACTCACAAGAAAATTATTTTTTATTTTTTATTTTTTTAAAATAAGCATTCGTTTACTTCACTTAAGTGAAGGTCCACCATGACTTTAAGTTAGGATAAAATTTTCCGGACCCTATAAATTTAACAGGACCGGACGTGAGGATTTGATGGCTTTAGAAGAGACGAAAAAAAGTTCTTGGCCATAACAAATTTAATTATATAAATTATTTTTCTTTAAAGAACAACTAGTATTACAAAATTACACATAAAAAATTATAATATTATAATTAATTATTGTAATAGTTGACTTAAAAATTTGGTTTTTAATTTTCTTATTTAAAATTATGCGATATTTATATATATTACTCATGGAAAATTAAAAATGTGGAACCTAAAAAAATAGGTCAGAGCCGGTAGGGCACCTTAGCCTACCCTTGGATCAGCCCTAAAATTGGAGCATTTTTCAATTAATCAAGAGGGATGCGAAAGGTCGATTATACAGTATATCTTGATGTACCTTCCTTTTAGTAAATTATAACAAACTTTTAATTAAAATAGTTTGAGAATAAATACTATATTATTTCAAAAAGATTTATGGGTTTCTTTCTTTTTAATGTAAGCATGGGGTTCTCGAAAAAAAATGTAAGCATGGTAGTAAAAAAAAGAAAATGTTGGCATGGGTAGTTGGGTCCAGGACTACCTATGAAAGCGTGAACTTCTAGCAATATATTTGATCCCATTATTGAATTCGTAAAGGAAAGACGCTCCTTCTCTCATGGTTCCACCCAAAACACACTCTTTCCAAACTCTCCAATCACAAATTTCAGTGGGAAATGCCTGCCATAATCACTTGGGGTTGTCTTCTTTCAGTGTTTCTCCTTGCCAGCAGTATTGATTGTGGCAAAGGGTATCCAAATTTGCAGCAGCAGAAACTGGATGAAGTCTTGGAGTTGCCAGGTCTGGGCTTCAATGTCAGCTTTGCCCATTTCTCTGGGCATGTCACTGTGAACCAGGAGTCTGGCAGATCTCTCTTTTACTGGTTCTTTGAGGCTGTGGATGACCCATCTTCAAAGCCTCTTGTTCTTTGGCTCAATGGAGGTCCACATCTCTTTCTCCCTTTTTCTTCTTTATCATCATATCTCTTGTTAGATTATAAAAATCTTTATTCAATTCCCAGCAGCCTCTTGTTTCTTGCTTCTCTAACCATCTTCAAGTTCTTGGTTTAGTGGATTAATTACTTGACATGTTAAAAAACCAACCTTTTTCTACATCAAGAATCTTTGCTACTTCCTTTGTTTGAGCAAACTTTTCCTTTCTGAATTGGATACCCAAACAAAAAAAGTTGCAAACTTTCTGTCATATGTGTGAATCTTCAGTTTTACCTGGTTCAATTTTGTGAATGGTTTTTTTTTTGTATGACTCTTTGCAGGGCCTGGATGTTCATCAATTGCATTTGGGTTGGGTGAGGAAGTTGGGCCTTTTCATGTTGAGAAAGATGGGAGGACCCTGTACTGGAATCCTTACTCTTGGAACTTAGGTTTGTAATTCTCATGATTTGTGTTTCTGTCAAACATGGAGAAATTAGTGTAGCATTGAGGATCAGGGCTTGTTTGGTAGTGGTAAGTTTTGGCTGGAACAACTAAAGTTGCTCAAATTGTTGGGTTGGCTGACTGAAATTTCTACTACAAAAATGGCTCATAAGCAGGATAATTAGTCTACCAAACAAGCCCTTGATACTTAAATCTTAAAATTACCAAAGTATAGGGAAACGTGATCTATCATTCCAAAACAAATGATGGCTTTTTAGGCAATTTGCGAGGGCAATCCAAACTGACCTTTTTCTTCTTTAATTTTTCTTATTTGCAGTTGCTAATCTGTTGTTCCTCGATTCTCCTGTTGGGGTCGGTTATTCGTATTCGAACACTTCATCTGATCATCTTAACAATGGTGATAAAAGGACAGGTACAATTTTGGCCTCGTTTTCTACGCCATTTTTCCCCTTAATTTTACTCCCTTTCACAAATTGACTGCTAAACGTCCATGTTTTGTGTTACAGCCGCGGATTCCTTAGAGTTCTTACTGAAATGGTTTGAAAGGTTTCCACAATATAAAGGAAGGGATTTTTATCTCACCGGAGAGAGCTATGCTGGTTAGTTACTTCTTACTTATATCCTCATAATTCAATGTGATGCTATTGTAAAGCAAGCATATATAAAAACTGCTCCAAAAGCTATTTGTAAACAAACTTTTGGGACCAAAAGCTCCCTTAAAGAGATACTCCCAATGTCTGGATTTAGTTGTCCATTTTCCCTTTTTAGTGGATCCGCATTTAGTTGTCCACTATCCATATTTTGCAAACAGATTATCGTCGATAGAATATTAGCATTGTTGACAACAATTAATGAGAAACTCACTTAAAGAACTTATTTGATATTTCACTCTCACTCCTTAAATATGATGTTTTTTGAAAGTGGACAGCTAAATTCGTCCATATGAAGTATTTACCAAACCGTTCTAATAGCCATTGTTTAGCCCAAAAAAGCTCATTGCCAAACACCCGAGTCTCTCTACTTACATTCCCTATTGGTTGTTTTTTGTTTTGTTTTAGGGCATTATGTTCCTCAGCTAAGTCAGGCCATTGTGAAGCACAATGCTAATGCAAAGGACAATGTGATCAACTTAAAGGGTTTCATGGTACGGCACCTCTTCCACAAATCAAAAGACCCACCAATAAAGTTGCATTCTTTTTCAGCAAACAATTTTTTTAAAAAAGTGTGTTTGCTTGTTAAACACAGGTTGGAAATGCTTTGACAGACGACTACCACGACCACTTGGGCCTTTTCCAATTCTTGTGGGCTACTGGTCTGATTTCTGATCAAACATTAAAGCAAGCAAACCTTTTGTGCGACTTGCAATCGTTCGTTCACCCCTCAGAGAAATGCGATGAGATATTAGACATTGCTAGTGCAGAATATGGAAATATTGACCCTTACAGCATATTTACACCAACCTGCACCACAAATGTTAGCATAATGAACAGCATATCTAGAAGAAGTGATGTAAGTGCCTAGTACATGTTTCTTCTTTTTTTTAAAAAAAAAACTAAGTGATTTTTTAGTACTATAATTTTTCTATTAATTCCGGAAAAAATAGCTAACTTTGACTAAGACATACTCCATATACCAAAATAGGACCTTCAATGTTTTTTTTTACCAAAGTATAGCTTAAAATGCAAAATAATGCCAAAAATACTGTGAAATGTCATCACACAATGCCAACTTGTAAGCGTTTCACAGTCCAACACTCCCATATAGGAGATAAAACATAGAGCTCTTATTTTGGTAAAAGTTTCATGTTTTAGTCTTATTTAGGTAGTTTTCTTTTAAAAATTTTCTATGACAATTAAATATTGATGATCGATATTGGTTTATAATATGTCTTGGCTTGAAAAAATGAAAATTTATTAATTTATTTTATTTCCACTTGAGGTGTTGTTTCAACAGAAGGTAGGTCTGCTGAGAAGAAGCTATGATCCCTGCACAGAGAAACACTCAACTGTCTACTTCAACCTTCCTGAAGTTCAAAAGGCTCTTCATGTTCATACCCGAAACTCTTCATTTAAATGGACAACTTGCAGGTATTATACCCAAACCGTCGTGTTTATATTGTTCGAATTCCATGTGAGCTTATACTTCATGTCTTCATCCCATTAAATGCGGCCTGATTACATACTATGAAAATTCTTTCTGAACATTTGTTTTAATTGCGTTACTGCCTTTACACTGCAGTAATGAGGTATATGAGTCTTGGAAGGATTCTCCTGGGACTGTGTTGGATATCTATCATGAACTTATAAGTTCGGGGCTTCGCATTTGGGTATTCAGGTTTTACCTCTACTTTCTTCTCACAAGCTCCCTAGCTTCAGCATATTTTCACTCATTTCTGGCAGTAATATGTTGTTAAAGTACATGTTTTCTTCATTAAGGGTAAATGTAATGCTTAAAAATTGAATCTTTTTTACACCTATCATATGTTGGTATTATTAGTTTCCTTGTTTCTTGGTGGCAGTGGCAATACGGATGCTGTGATCCCTGTCGCATCGACACGTTATAGCATTGACGCTCTCAAACTCCCCACTGTTAGTCCTTGGCGCGCTTGGTATGATAATGGACAGGTATTCTCACACTCATCTTATTCCCTAAATGCACTTCCCAAATGGTTTTGGAAGATGAGAAAAGTTGTTCCAAATCTACTTGGATACTCTACCAACTCTACCATTTTTTTTACAAAGTGTTAAGGAACCAACTCAACATGGCACCTCACTAGCAAGTGAGATTTGATTTTTATTTTACTCGACTCTCGCACGTGACCATTGTTTTTTTTTTTCAAATCTGGGTGGCGCTGAGATTTGAAATTGTGACTTATAGGTCAACAATGTTTTGATACCACGTTCAAAAACCGACTCAACCAAAAGCTTGATAATATGTTTTCCATATCCAACCATATATCGTTGAATCAACTTTGGTGCTCTATGTTGAGGATATAATCTCACATCGAACACTCGGGCTAAAAAAAGACTCTTACGTAAAGAATATGACTTAGGCTCCGTTCCGTTCAACTTATTTTTTCTGATCTGATCTGATTGAAATCTCATAATTCTTCTGTACTGTCAAATAGGTCGGAGGATGGACGGAAGAATATGAAGGGCTGACATTTGTTACAGTTAGAGGGGCAGGCCACGAAGTCGCTCTCCACAAACCCAAACTCGCTCTCACGCTCATCCAGTCTTTCTTAGCCGGAACCTCAATGCCCCGGCTGCAACCTATCAGCTACTCGTGATCCTTTCCTTCTCCCATGTGCACGACTTGCGTTTTTTTATAAAAAAGAAAATTGGACCGTAAACATAGAAATGCAAAAAAATGTTTGGCATTGAGCCTGAAAATGTGAAGAACAGATGCTACATTATAATAGAGTCATTTTGCTTGCGTTGTTCATTCTTATAATGGATGCAAACCACATTCCTCAACTCTATCATATGCTCAATAATAGAAGATGTATGCCCTCTCCACATTTTAATATTTTGGTTAGTTTTTTTATACACTTTGGCTACAAAATGGGAAAAGGACATTCAGTTGTAGTGTAAATTTAATATGTTGTGTTCATTTTAAAATGTAGTTTTGATATATCAAATTTGTATAACATCTATTTATATAAAAAAATATTTACTAATTGTCAAAGTGTGTAGAAAATTGAGCAAAAAAAAAAAAAAATCGAAATCCGAACAGATTTTTTGTGAGGGAGGTAGCTAGCAGTCGTTTTTATAGCTAAGACTATTAAAAGAAACTTGTGAAACGTGATATAATTCCAACGCATTGGTTCCAAATTCCAGCAGAAGCCAGGCAATGAAAAAGAATGTCTTCATAGCTTAATTAATTGTAGAATAGGACATGAAAAATAAATGTGGTCCCAATATGAATAATGCTAAAAATTCATATAGTGATCCACGGATCATAATCGTTTGTGTTCATAGAATCATAGGTGATTATCGTTTACGTATAAATAAATCAGCTGTAATTGTTATTATTGAGGACAATCATTTTGGATTCCTAGCATGGTCTGATTCCATACAGGATTATTCAGAAATGTTTTTTATCTTCTTGACCAAAAGTTGGCCGAATTGACTGATTTTTAGTGGTTTGGCAAAGTCAAAAAACAGAAAAAAAAAGTGATGAGTGCTGTATATATTACTCTATGTTTTGTTGGCCAATCCAAAAATCTCAGTCATGAGTTTATGACTATCTAGTATTGAGTCCGGATTTAATTTGCAAGTATTCATACCTTATTAAAAATAAACAAAAAAAATACAAAAATCATGTTAGGTGTACTCAAAGATTGTATCCTAAAATATACCTCAAAGGTTTACATTTACCCGGAAGAATAAAATGTCAGTACAGTCACAAAATTCACACTAACATTTTGTATTAATATACTCCGTAAGTCATTAATCTGGTATGTACAATAATAAAAATGTGAATGACTTTTTTGAATAAATTATAAGGTACTCCCTCCGTCCCGTTTTAAATCTCTTGTTTTGACTTTTGGACATATTTAAGGAAAAGAAAAAATAGATTTGATTTTTCAAAATTGTCATTACTTTTAAAAGGGGTGGCTATGAATTAAAAGATAGGTAAAAAAGGGTGATTTATTTTAAGAGTAGTTTAGGTATTTTATTTTTAAAAGTTTATGATAACAACTAACAAGCAATTTATTTTGGGACGGAGAAAAAATGCAAACAAGCAATTTAAATTGGGACAAAGGGAGTATAATTTTTAGAGTACAAAATAAATTTAATAAAAAAACTAACATATGAATGAACCCTCTAAATTGAACGATCGCATAAGAAATTTTCTAGTCCATATAAGATAAAATACAACTACTACGTATTTTGAAAATACTTAATAGTTGTATTTTATCTTATATGGACTAGAAAATTTCTTATGCGATCGTTCAATTTAGTAATGTATACTTGTATATTTGTAAGAATGTAATAAATAACTAATAATGCCTTTATACATCAAAAGCAATTGTAGCATGGATGGTAGATGGTCTAACAATAGAACAATAGTTTGGGGGTTTGAATCCCCAATAGTAACAATTTTTGAGGAATTCGTGCAAAAAAAAAAAAAACGGGTCACCTGTCAAACCGGCCGGTTCTTACCGGTTCGAGCCGATTCGGTGCACATCCGGTCTTTGGAGCTGGACCGGACCGGTTTGGCTCCCGGTTCACCGGTTCCCGATCCGAACCGACCGGTCCGGTTTTTAAAATTATGGTATTTTAAGTAAAGATTTTTTTGGGTAAAAGTTTCAAATGAGGAAAGTATCTAAATTAATTATTCTTTACCTAAGTTCTCAACATCTCAAACACATTAACAAATATTTTCTTTTTTAATGGAGGATCATTCCGATTTAAATTCGTATCACTTTCTCTAAAAACCAAATTCTTTAAACTTCAGTTGTTTTTTACAATATCTTTTGCCCTAAATTAAGGAAAATCAACTAAATGGGATAACATATTAAATTATAAGTAAAATAATAACACGATAATCGAAATATAAAAATTTAAATAATAACGTGCTACGAAAAATTTATTTGTGGACATAGAGTAATAAATATACATTATTCAAAAAAACTCTTAGAAGTATGTTTAACATTTGCCAATCAACTTTAGACATGCTTCAAAGTGTTTTACATCCTTAAGACTTCAAAAAAAAGAGTTCAACATAGATATGCAACCAAATTGTCATTATATCAAAATTAGCTTAATTATGTATTTACACAACAAAAAAGAGAGAGAGATCACAATCGACAGAAATTGCCAGCAAATTCACACTAATTACCAAACAAAAAAATAAATAAATAAATAAAGTGGGAAAATCAAAGGAATACAGTGAAATTCAGAGAGGAATGAAAACTAAGGAATCGTCAGTAGTGAAATCGATCAGAAACGGCATCCGCAGCAGAGGAAGAAGAAGGCGAGCCTGGACACCAGAACGACGGCCTCTACGAAGGAAACGAACCTGAACAGAACGCCGTCCAGGAACCAGTTCAGAAACCTCGACGGCCGCCTCGCGGTCTTCAGCCGCCACCGCAGCCCCGCGCTGCGGCCATCTCCGCCGGTGGAGCGCCTCGCGGTCAGCCGCTTGAAGGTGAACCAGTGCCCCGTCTTCTTCAACATTCGGGAGGTTTCGTGGAATGGAATGGAATCTCTCTCTCTCTCTCTCTCTCTCTTTCTGCGGGGAGGATTGAGGGGATTTATGGAGGAGGAAAAGGGGGGGAGGATTTTGAGACGGCCGTCCGGCGAAGTTGCGCGTGGGATCGTGCGGTTGGGGAGGGGTATAAAAGGAGATTTGGGAGACTCACCTTCCTACTCGGTTTCCACATCATTTCATTGCTCGGTCACACCTACACTAATTATGTAAAGTTGATATTCTGTGGAAGCCAAAGATTCACTATTTTTTTTGCTATGGGGTATGATGGAATAAAGCAAATTGGCTCTCTAAACTGTCTGCGATTCTTGTCATTGTAAAGTAGCAGTTGGTCAATACAATTTTTGACGTTCATCATTGGTCATCTGGAAACAGCCGCTCTATGTTTTAAACATAGGGGTTAGACTGCGTACATCCAACCCTCCTTACCTCGCAATGGGCGGGAGCCGTTGAGGCACTGGGGTAATGATGCTGTTGATCCTCCTGGGACGTCTGCTTAAAAAATTGACGGTTTCTATTCTACTTATTCACCCCTCATCTACTTCCCTCGGAAAACCCTCGCCTTAGTCCGACCCGAACGGATCCTCCAAGCTTCCAATTTAAGTTAACTTTAGTTTGGAGTCAAATTTGAGGGAGCAATTGAAGGGGGAGGGGGAGCTTTACCAAGGGTTACGCGGAGTAGGTATCATCAACTTTTTGAAGCAACATCTATAGGGATCTCAATTGAAGCTCGGATCATAGTATGATGTTGGGGTTTAATGTCGCATGAACTCCTCTGATAAAGGATTTATCTTGTTCGAACAACGTGAAAAAATTTTGTGACTTTTAAAATGATTTTATTTACAAATTATTATAGAAATCAATAATATAACTTACATATATAAGAATGACATCAAAATTTCTATATAACAAGAAGTGACAAGAATTCTTTATTTTATCCAATTCTCAATTAAATTATACAAACAAAATAAAAATTATCAAGAAATTATAACAATGAAGGTACATATTATTTTTGGAAGATGTAAATTGTTTTAGCACGAAAGAAGTAAAAAAAAGTATTGGGGAATAACGTTCGAGTAAAGCAATTACTTTGTAATTTGTCCGTTAGAGAAGAAAAAGATTGGAGAATAATTCCATGTTAGCTTTACACAAGTTTGACTTGGAGTGGAATGGGAAAATCAATATAATAACAGAAAATTGTTCTCTTCTAGTTTGACGGCTAATGAATTTCCACTCTTTTTTTTACTCCACGCGTCTCCAATTCACCAAATTTGTCTACATTCATTCATTTCTTAATGTATCAAGAAAGTCATAATGGACAGTTAATATAGAATGGAGAGAGTATTTGACTAAATTTACTTTATTTATAAGTAATTTTTCTTGTTTTAGTCTTTTAGGGATTTCTGATATACATTTAACAAATTTTAAAATTTTTTACGCATACTATTGGTATGTGAAAAAACGTTCTTGTGATATGAATTTTGAAATTTATAGAGTGATACGGAAAGATCTTACAAAACAAGAGGCGACAAGGTTTAATTTTATAATAGTATTTTGAGAACTTTTATGTCATGTTGGGATTTGTTTCTTTTATAGAGAGAAGTGAATTTGACAAGCCGCAACACTATTCCTCGGCCTCGAGAAACGTCATTGATCACTACACGATGGCTTCTCTATCGGTTACTCCCTTCGTTTCAAAAAAATTACACTCTTTACTATTCAAAACTTACGCAAGGGATGGCCAGCAACAATAGGTTGTCAGCGACAGCTAGCAGTTGTTTTTAGAGAGATATGTCAAAAATCAGAATCTCAAAAACATCGAAAGTTTTGGTGTCCCAAGTGTTTTAAAGCCAAGTTAACAATGGCCACAATTTCCATTTCCAACAACACAAACAACATTTTTTTCTTTTCCAAATTTGGAGGGGAAAAATGGAAGAAACTCTTTTTATGTATGGGTAAAAAAACAAACAAACCAAATCCAATGTCTTGAAAAGGCTAAATGTAAGTAGTTCAGCCATGCAAACCTTCACATTCATGAGTTAGAATGATTTCCCCTACAACAAATAATTATTCAGACAGATCATCTTCTTCTTCCCAATCTTTTCTTCTTCAAGAATATCAGTCTCTCGCCTTTGTTCACCTACTGAGCATACTCAAATATGCACTCCCCATAGCCTGCAGAATTGCAGTTCGAAAACGAAAAACAATGCAACTTCAAGATTACGAAACAAAACAAAAGAAACACAATACACACACACACACACTTGGGATGGTGTTTTTTTAGTTTTTTACTTGGATCAGTGACTGCAATAACTGCTGTTTTTCTGAAATCGCAGTTCCAGTAGTTTGCCCCTGATTTCTGGTAGTAGAGATTCATGGCGAAAGATGCATGGTTGATCAGAGTATCAGGGTAGAAGCAAGGGCCACCCTGCTGGGTTGCAGTGCAGTTCACCACATTACAAGCATAGATGAGGTTGGCCATGAGCTCTCGGTCACTCGTTGAAGGCCTTGGAAGGCACCAAGAACCCTGCAATGCAGCCATTCCTTGTCAATGGTCAAGAAAAATAGGGTATTTTGTTAATATCTAAGAGTCTAATTCCTACGACCCACGCATAACATTGAAATTATGATAGAAATTTATAGCTAAGGGTATTCTTTTTATAGCTAAGGGTGCATGTTAACAAACGAAAAATTTCTCAATTTCCAATGAAAAAAAATTCCTCTTTTGGTTTGTTAAGATGCAGAGTGGCAACTATCTCTTTAAATATCTTTCACTTTGTCTTCAACATACCTGTCCAGGTGCTTGTGCATTTGCAAGCCTTGTCATAATGCCTGATAAATAATGGGAAGTACTAAAACTGTATTAATTCAGACTCAAAAAAAACAAATTCTTTTTTGAGTTCAGTCCACCAATAATTGTGAATTTGGAAATCATAATAAATTCCAAGGCAGAGAAGAGAACGGACAACAGGTACCTGAACATGAGAGTTGAAGGAGGAGCAGAGTGAAAATGGGGAAGAAGCGAGACAAGTCCGCCATGGATGTAAGTTTGACAAGTAAGAGCTCAAATCGAATGAGAAAGCTTTGAAAGTTCACTGCTGGAATAAGGGAGAGACTTGGAGAGGAATCTGTTGGGTTATTCGGTGAAGGCTTTAGAGCTGTGGGCTTTAAGCCTGGTCGGCTAAAGGGAAGAAACATGGGGGGCCGGTTTTAGTTATTAATTAAAGGGCCCATTAGTTGTTTCTTGTTTAGCAAGTTGTTAACCCTAGTTTATATCTTATAAATACCCAATCATGTAACTATAATCTGCGAGCACCTAATAAAAGATAAACCCTAGCTGCAACCCGTGGAGGTTACTGACCGAACCACGTTAAATCTCGTGTTCTTATTTTCTGCTATTTGTGTGTGTGTGTTTGTTCGCTTCCGCTTGACCGCCTCTGATCTCTGATTCCTAACAAGTGGTATCAGAGCCTTGGTTCGGTTAAACACACGGTTACACAGGATCAATCGCAGGAAGAAGGCTGTTCAGGATCGTTTTGCTGCTGTTTTGCTGCCGCGGTTAAGGGGCTGGTTCAGATCTGATCAGGGGCTGGTTCGGATCTGATCAGAGGCTGGTTCGGATCTGGTCAGGGGCTGTTCGGTCGGTTTTAGGTGAACTTGGCGATTAGGGTTTCTGGTTTTGGACCTGGTACTCGTTGGTTCGGGTTCTTTGTTTTAGGGTTTGTTTTCTTTTGGAGGTTGCTTGGTTTCAGGCCGTTATTCCTTGATTTTTTCTCTGGTTTTTTTT